CATTGGGGTCACTGGGGTCACTCAGGGTCACTCAGGGGTCACTCAGGGGTCACTCAGGGTCATTCAGGGGTCACTCAGGGGTCACTCAGGGGTCAGGGGTCACTCAGGGTCACTCAGGTCACCTGGGGGGGTCACTCAGTGGGGTCATTTTGGGCTCACGGGGTTACTCGAGGTCATTCAGCGGAATTCGTGCTCGGGGTCACTCGAGGTCACTGCAGGGGTCACTCGGGGTCACTCAAGGTCACTTAGAGGTCATTTGGGGTCATTTGGAGGTCACGGGGTTACTCGAGGTCATTCGGTAAAATTTTTTATCTTTTGGGGTTACTTGGGGTCACCCCAGGGGTCACTTGAAGGTCACTCGGGGTCACTTGAAGGTCACTTGGGGTCACTTGAAGGTCACTCGGGGTCATTTAGAGGTCAAGGGGTTACTCGAGGTCATTCAATAAAATTTGGGATCTCTTGGGGTCACTCGAGGTCGCCCCAGGGGTCACTTGAAGGTCACTTAGAGGTCATTTGGAGGTCACGGGGTTACTTGAGGTCACGGGGTCACTCGAGGTCACTCGGGGTCCTGGGGGGGATTTTGGGGAGGTTTGGGGGGACCTGGGGGGGAATTGGGGAGATTTTGGGGTGTCTGGGGGGGATTTTGGATGATTTTGGGTGAATTTCAGGTGATTTCAGGTTTATTTTGGGTGTTTCAGATGATTTCAGGTGGTTTTGGGGTATTTTGGATGATTTCAGGTGATTTCAGGTGTATTTTGGGTGTATTTCAGCCCTCACCTGCGTGGCTCTGGGTGTATTTGGGTGTATTTTGGGTGATTTCAAGTGATTTTGGGGTGATTTTGGGTGAATTTTGGGTGATTTTGGGTGTATTTTGCGTGATTTTGGGTGTATTTCAGCCCTCACCTGCGTGGCTCTGGGTGTATTTTGGGATATTTTAGGTGTTTTGGGTGATTTTGGGTGAATTTGGGTGATTTTGGGTGAATTTCGGTGATTTTGGGTGTATTTTGGGTGTATTTTGGGTGATTTCAAGTGATTTTGGGGTGATTTTGGGTGAATTTTGGGTGATTTTGGGTGTATTTTGCGTGATTTTGGGTGTATTTCAGCCCTCACCTGCGTGGCTCTGGGTGTATTTTGGGATATTTTAGGTGTTTTGGGTGATTTTGGGTGAATTTGGGTGATTTTGGGTGAATTTCGGTGATTTTGGGTGTATTTTGGGTGTATTTTGGGTGATTTCAAGTGATTTTGGGGTGATTTTGGGTGAATTTTGGGTGATTTTGGGTGTATTTTGGGGTGATTTTGGGTGAATTTTGGGTGATTTTGGGTGAATTTGGGTGATTTTGGGTGTATTTTGGGGTGTTTTGGGTGTATTTCAGCCCTCACCTGCGTGGCTCTCCGGGCCTGGCGCATCAGGCGGCTCCGGGCCTTGCGCTGCGACTCCGACTCCTCATCCCGGGGTTTGGGGGGCTGGAACGGCCTGGGGGGGCCAAAATCCGGGATTTGGGGGGAAATTCGGGATTTGGGGGGAAAATCCGGGATTTGGGGGGAAAAATTCGGGATTTGGGGGG